AACCGGCAACCTTCTGATTACAAGATTCAAATATTCAAATATGAATGTTATTGTATTTCACTGGTAGTCTAAGTCTGAAAAACCAGACAAACTAATATGTAGTTGTGTTTTTCATAATACATGTATGAAAAATGACCACATGTTAGACATTTTTCCAAACAAAATGTAATTTTCATAAACATGGCAAAAAATCAAAATAAACAAGCAGTAAAAAGACAAGAGCCTTTCCCCTTTCAGCTCAAAGCCTCACATACCTGAAGGATGAATGTCAAAGCAGGAGCGCAAACACAAACGCTCAGAGTATTTAAAAAACACAATGAACGAAACAATGGAAAAGGCTCATGGTACTCAATACTCTACGTTATCGTGTTTTACTTTTCAGTTGTAGTTGCTGACAATAAATAATATTGATTTGAATAATGAATGATTTTAGTACAAGATACTGATGAGCATACATACATATTTCTCAAATATTTTGATTAAATGTTAAACAAAAATATTAAGCACATGTAAAGAAGGTATTCTGTGAACCACATACTGAATTTTTTGTCTGAGATAAATGTAAATAAATACCTTAATTTAACACAAACACAGACGTTAATGTTTTAGACATTTATTTCAACTTATCAAACTCAAATAATTACTAAAAGGATATTCACAGATTTGATCAGGCTCATCTAACTTATATTTATAGTGATGTTTACTAAAAGCCTCTGAGTTACTTTTTAGAGTGCAGCGCACAATGTGCTTTGAGGCAGCAGCCAAGAAAGGTGTAGTTTGTGTCTGCGAACACCAGTGTGGATCAGCACGCTTGTATTCCAAAGGTTTCTCCATGTAACGATCTGCTAGGGAGTGTGGGGGGCCATAGCCCCGTCCCCCAGGGCATGAAGCAGGTATGGAGGAGATCCAGGCCCCAGACATCCAGAGGCCCCCAGAGTACAAGGACCCAAGGAGGACCACCAACGGGGCAACCGTGCCACCCTCCTGGGAAGAGCTGAGGAGAGCCCCAAACAAGAGGTCACCCAGCAGCCACGGAGCAGAGGCCAGAGGGGTTGCAGTGACGTGCCCGCGGGCTCTGCCAGCAGTGAGCTGAGCCAGAGAGGACTGAGCTCCAGGCCCAGAGGCCTGAGGGCACCCCACCCCCTGGAAGGGGCCCAGCCGGGCCACAGACGCCAATCGGCCACCAGGAGTGAGCCGGTACATACATGAGCGCCCAGCCCCAGACACCAAGAACCACCAACACACCAACGTCTGAGGGCATCAGCCACCAGCAGGGAGTGTGGTGAGGGGAGATGGTTCCCAGAGAGGCGGAGTCTGAGACCCAAGCTGACAGATAGACACAGTCTGAGATCTTTAACAGATGATCCTGTGGTGTTAATTTGAAAACCCTACATCACACATGTGACGCCCCGGATCAGCCTGTTATGACCGAAGCGTAAAATCTCCAATACTGCAGCTTCTGTCACAGCTGTAGCAGAGACGTCGTCACGATTTAAAGACAAAATATGTTTTTAAATTTAAACCCATTACCCTTCCCTCTGATCTCGGATCAGTTTGAGTTTGCAGGCGTGGCTCTCCTACCTTACACTCCATCTCGGTGGAGAGCTTGCCCATGAGTTTGTGCCAGTCCTGCTCCTGACTCGTCACCTTGTTCAGCAGCTCGTGGAACATCCCGCTCAGCTGCTCCGTCACCGAGTCGAGCTGCAGCCGGCTCACTTTCCCCTCCAGGGCCGATTTGTCTGCTCTCTACGGGCACAGAGGGAGAATCGGGAGGTCAATGGCGAGAAGGCGGAGGCCGACAGGTGTCCTGAAACAGTCGCCTCACACACGTCTCAATCAATCAATCAATCAATCAATCAATCAATCAAGGCTTTATTCGCCACATGCAGGTATGCAGGTTGCCCTGCAGTGAAATGGAGGGACAGATCACACCCAAACATCTGAAACTAAAGCAGGTGAGTCTGACTCCTCCCACAGGTGGGAGGTTAAAATGAGCCAACTCACGATTTCACTCTCGACCATCTGCTTGTCGGCCTTGTTCACCTCCAGCTCCTCCGTCGTCTTGTAGAGCTCCTGCAGAGACGAGAGTCCGTCAGCTCGTCTCCTCAGCTGTTCAATTCAACTTTTACATTTTTAGAAGAATGACAATAAAGACAAAATATGTACGGATGAAAAACTCTTTGGATAAAAGCAGTTTCGGGAGCAACCTGCAGTTTGAATCTTAAATGACTGTTTCAAGAACTCTTTCTTGCCGTCACGTGTCGCACACGGCGCAGCACCTCCTACCTCTGCGGTTTGTTCTGGTGGAGACGTTTGAGTGGAGCAGTAAGTAACACCGTGGTCTCACACTGGTTTCTGTTTGGTGCATTTACACCTTCAATTAAAAGTAAAAAGTGTCATCACAGTTCATATTAAGATGCTGGTTTTCTACACCGTTATATTTGTGCCATCCATGTGGTCCAGACATATCTTAAAGTTTATTTTGTGACCCAGACAGAGTAATATTTCAAACTCTGCCACTGCCTCGCTTGAGTTCTGGACCACATGGATTCTGGGATATTGCATTTCGTCATTTTGAGCTGATTGGAGACCAAAACAACCAATCAGATTTTTGTGCATCCAAGTCTGTGATTGGCTGGTTTTCTGGCACAAATATAACGGTGTAGAGAAAGAGTTGAGCGCGCACGGGCAGAAATGTTGAGAGCGCGAGCGACACATTGCGAGCGAGC